GGATACCAAATTTTGTCATGTAACATGTAACTATGTCAAACTTAGATAAAATTTAATGACATATTGACACAGTATATTCTTAAATAGAGATCAACTAAATCATTACAGGTAAATTTGCTCTTAACTGTTTTATTTATAATTATGTCAAATTTAAATCCATCAATTGGCGCATTTTTAAAAGAGACTTACAAATGTCAAAAAAGATTGTACAATGAAATGTTAAACTTTGAACTTAGAAAATGACATCTATATTTTATGTTGACGTTTAATCAAATGTCAAAAATGTTAAATTAACAAATTGTTTACTTATAATTAATTTATCTTGGATCATTTTAAGTTGACAAATTTTGTACATGGAAATGTCAAATGAAATAGCTGTCAATTTTGACAATTTGTAGTACTGAATTATACCACTAGATGACGCTTCAATTACATTTACTTTGCACAGCCACGTAAAATCCGAAGCATTTATTTATAGATTAATGATGGAATCTAAGGATGTTACACAACATAAACAACGTTGACTATTGCAAATGACGCTGCAAGAAAATAGAACATATAATTTCGATTATTTTCCTTCCATTATTTACATACGGAATTACATGTATTTTTAGAAATGTACACGATTTCATTTAAAACAAGAAGGTGTCAAAACATTGCACATAACGTTGGCAATTTACATGCAGTCGCCGCAGATGAGATTCCGAGAACAAAACAAAACAAGCTATGACACAAATAAATTAGCACAGTCTTTTGTCACGTAAGTACAGGTAACTTAAGAAAACAGAATTTGTGTATGTTTCTTGTCTCACACATATTTTCTTTGTCGTAATAAAATGTATTTTGATACAAGGTCTTGTAGGATATCTTATCGAGCAACGGTAACCTGAAATTACTGCAAAAAAATATTTGCAACTGATACCAATAATCAGCACGGTCTTGTTCATATATTTAGCAAATGATGCACGACGCCCAAGGACACGCTTCGATGACCGAACATTACGTAAGCGCATACTTAGCGTACTTAATTCATCATCGAGAATATTTGTTGTAATTTTTTTTTGTAATAATTTATTGGTAGTAGACAAATATTGGTAAATCCTTTGATACAGAAATATTCTAAAATAGCGAAATTTTATTGACAGTTTGAACTTGAAGTAAATGAAGATAAAAAAGGTGGGTCTGCTTTGCATTCCTTGTGATTAGAAAACTTTATGTTCGAACACGTATTACGACGATGAAATGTATCGGTTTCGATATGAAACTAGTTTCGCCCAGGTTTTTTTTTCTACTGCTATGGATGACCTTGGATAGACCTTTAAACCTATACAAACAGTATAATTTTTATGATAAATTAAATATTTGTGAAAAAACAGTTTATTTTTATTCTATTAATATTTTTTTTATGTCTTACGTCTTAATTTTTAAGAGACATCAACGTTTTAATTTAAGTAAGTTTATTGACGTTTCTGATTTATCTTTTATGAAATGTCAAAAAAAACTTAGGTTATAAATGTACTTAAGGACTGTCAAAATTGACATTTTGTAATTCCACATTTATCACCAGATGACGTTACAAATCTTAATCAATTTTGTTTATACACATTATTTTATTCAGTGAAATTCTTAAACGAAACTTTGTAATTTAAGAATACTTAAAAAAATATTCGTAATTCATTAAATATAAAAAATATATTTTTCACCAAATAATTTAATTTTCAACTGACATTTTAATTTGTTGACGTTTCTAATTTGTCTTTTATGAAGTGTCAAACAAAAGTTAGGTTAAATGAAGAACTGTCAAAATTGACATTTTGTAATTACAAATTTATTACTATGACGACGACGTTTCAAATATTAATCAATACACATTATTTTATTTAGTGAAATGCTTAAACGAAAGTTTGTAATTTAAGAAAACTTAAAATGAAAAATTGAAAATTTATTTATTTCCAATTTTTTTCGAATCTAATGTCTATCGAACATAGTGTTCTTATTGTCCCTTATACAAAAATTAGTAAAATAATTATTTATTTAAAAAAATTACCTAAAAAATTTAAATTTTTAATCGACTTTTCCTTCAATATTTTATGTTTCTAATTTGATATGATAATTTAATCTTTTGTTTTTTGTAAGCAATTTGTTTGTATTTCGATTATTTAATCAAATGTAAATAAATCTTATAGAAGTTTGTAAACAAAATATTTGTCATATTTCAAAATAATCTATTAATACTTATAGAAATGACAAATCCCGTCAAAAAAAGTCAACAACTTCTTTTTTAAAGTTTGTAAGATGAATAATAATAGTGCTGGATAAATATAGAATTGTTTGTGTAAACATATTTTAGTATTTTGAAATTTTCTTCCAGAGTTTCCACATTTCCTTACATTTTCTTTTTTCTAAATAAAAATTGAACGAAGATTTGATTATTATTGTTTAACAAGAAAAATGTTAATAATTCTTACAAATTTTACTTATTATTTGAGAAAACGTATAAGAAGTACTTAAATGTATTCTACTGTTTAGAATTTGAATTTTTTTTCAGATTTTCCAAAAATAAAAATTTGATAAAAATTCAATGAGGTATGATCTTTATTGTTTTATAAGAAAAAGTTTAATAATTCTTAAAAAAAATAGTTCTTTTTTATTAAAAAAAATGTATACAATTTACTTCATTTTAAGCTACTGAAATTTGTATAAGTATTTTCAAGAAATGATTACTAACTATGAAATTTCTGAAGAAATAATGCATTTTTTTACTGTTAAAAAAAAAATGAAAATGTACTTTTAATTTGATGTGTATTTTTTATTTGTTATTGTTCTTGAATTACATGAATCCTATTGAATAGAAACATAATAAAACATTGAGGAAATCTGAGATTAAGAATTAATTATATCATTCATTATTACACTAGAAAAATTCAAAAAAAAGATGTGTGTTTTCCCCAGTTTTATTCCCACGCGAAAGTTACACAAAGTTTCCTGCATTCACGCTGTACATTTTTTTTTATTACTATTTACTTGATGTAATACTAAATTTTAGTTTTGATCATCATTTTCTATACAATTTTATAATATTCATTTGATACTTAAATCAATATTTAAAGTAGATTTTTTAGTTCAAAATTGAAGAAAAAAAAAATAGTTTTTATAAAATATTTTGTGAATTATTTATGTAATTTTGCAATATTTACTGTTATTTTCTCATTGTCTGGTATAATGCAATTTTAAATTGTCTTTAATCAATATTGAACAGGAAACATATGGTAAAAGAACATATAAATTATTTATCTATTACAATTATAGTTTTCACATTAAAATTTAATGGTATTTTTATAGAAATATTGTAATTAGAGTAAACATATGGTGGAAAAAATTACGTTTTTATTTTTCTTATATAAATTCCTAAATTTTTCGATGTAAATTACTAAATTGCACTTACAATTTCAGCGATCTTCAGTTTTCCAGGCAACGTTCTGAAATAATCCAAATTGATCTTGAGCCATGAGAGGGTCTGCGATTCACTTGGTTTCGTGGTGTTGTTGTTTGGTGCCTGGTTAGGTTGCACAGTGACCACAGTTTCCGTCATCATCAGAAGATTTCCCGGTACTTTTTCTATGTGTCAAAATTTGCGCAAATTCAAATTTGAATTCGATGCGTTTTGCAGCGGAGATATAGGAGGACGCGAGTTTGCGCGACTCTTGAAACACACTGGTAGGTAACGCACGCTGAAAGTGCGCTCTCTCGCGAAGCTTTGGAAACTTGAAGTTATGAGCGCAGGTGGAACGTCGTCAGGAGGTGTCAGAAGAGTGGTGGAAGCGACTGTTTCCATAAAAGACCACCACCGTTCAGCGCTCTCCTTCGTTTCTTACCATATATACTTTATACAATTTCTTAGCAAAGTTCTTTTTTTTTGCTGAAGACTTGGAAATTGAAAGTTTTCTCCGAGTCCTTGGATGAACGGTAATGAGAAACTACTGTTTGTTTGCAGTGTCTCTAAAAATGGTAGAACCTTGTTATTTTACTCCAATCGATTATTGATGTTAATCACGAGAAAATAGAGCAATTTTATTCAATTGAAAAGAAACAAACGTTTATTGAAAATTCTTATGCATTTCTTAATACAAATGCTGTAAGAAATTCTTGTACTGACAATAATTTAATAAAACAGTTAGGAAATTGTTTAATTCAAAATTTGTATTATATATCAGAGGTGGCCAGACTTTTTGCAGCAAGAGCCGCACCTAAACTTTTTGGTATAATAATTTTTAAGAAATCTCAATCATAATATAAAATATCTATAATATTTGTGTTTTGTTGTGGTTCAACTAGCGACAACAATATAAATAATTTAGTGAAATTTAATTTATGAAAAAAAAAACGCAAATATTTGGAAATATAATAATTATTACCCAAAAAAAATAATTAAGAAAAAAATCACACTTTTTTTTTGTAATGTAATTATTTTTTACATTAATGTTGTAATTAAATTGTTTATAAAAATAGACAATTAGCAGATTCTTCTTGAAAAAAAAATAGTTATAATTCATTTTGTTATATTATTTTTGACTAATTCTTGGAAAATTGAATATTTCTTTTGTAATTACAAAAAAATATATATAATTATTTTCAATTTAATTATGTTTTTTAATATGAAAGAAACTGTACACTTGAAAATAACTTAATTAAAACGAAAACCGCTATGAAATATGTAACCAATTAAAATGTTTTGTAAAAATAAAATTTCCAAAAAAAATAAACGTAGGCGTGTGTCGTTTAAATATAGACATTTTATTTGTTTTACTGAAGCCAATTAAAACAAATGATGAATCATATTACATCATATTAATAGATGACTGTCAAATTTGCTTTTCACGTCTTAATGTTTTATTTAATTACTCTATAATCTAATTAGATTATCAAAGTTGCATATGAAGGATAAAATTATGACCTTTCCAATGATCCCACTTGTAATTTTGTAGTATTCCTAGTTTTCCTTTAATGAACATTCAAAACTGTACTTTTTTTTTTAATAATTATATTTGTAGAAAATGGAAATGTAATGAGATTTTTCAATATTTCATAATAACTCAAAAACGTCATATATATTTTATGATCAAATCATCAAATTATGTATTTTATGGTATAAAACTTGTTGCGTAATGATAATTAGTATGTGAGATATGAAGATTTTTCCAATTTCATTCACGTCTTCACGTTTGACAATATTTGTATCTATTCAATGATCCAACTTCTAATTATGTAGTATCTTTCATTTTCGTATAATACATATTCAAAATTATAACAATATTTTATCATTTTGTTAGTTTTTGACAATCTTTTGAAAATGCAAGTTTAATAAGATTATATTTCATATTAACCCGAAAACAATATTTTGAATATATTTTATTATTATATGAGAAGAATCTTTACTCACGCCTCATATGATGCAGCAATTATTATGTAATTTTAATTAATGACTGTAAAATAATGGTTTTTTGTTTTTTTTACGTCTTCACGTTTTATTTAATTACTCAATAATTACATATTTTAATTAGTTTATCAAAGTTTTATATTAAAGATAGAATTAAGACTTTTCAAATTATCCTATTTCTAATATTATAGTATTTTCGTTATCTTATAATAATCTTTCAAACTTGACCAATATTTTTTATTCAATAATTTTCTTAGTTTTTAATATTTCATATTAACTCAAAATCTTTTTATATTTTATACCATAACGTCAAATGGGGTCTTGAATTATGCATCTTTAGATATAAAAACTGTCACGTAATAATAATTAGTAAGTGAGATATGAAGATGTTTCCAATTTATTTCACGTTTTCAAAGTTTTTGGCAAGAAAATACAAGATTATATAATAATCATATATTCTAATTAGATTATCAAAACTGTATATTAAAGATAAAATTATGACCTTTCGAAAGATCCTATTTCTAATGGAATGGAATTGAACAATTTTTTTTTATAATTTTTTTTCAAAAATGTAAATCTAATGAGATATTTTATATTTACTCAAAAACATTTTGCATATTTTATTTTTCCAATTTCCTTCACATCTTCACGTTTTATTTAATTACTCGATAACCACGCATACCAATTACATTATTACAAGTTTTTGGTATTCTCTAGAATAACTCAAAATATCAAATTAAGAATTTACTTCTTAAGTAATAAAATTTACTTCAACTGATATTAAGTTGAATAATTTTGATTATGAAATATTATTTAAAAGGAATTTTACTAATTTCTGATCCAAAGCAGTAATTAGTTAATATTTCTAGCGATTAATGTATAAAATTAAACATTTTTTAAAAGAACGTTAATTTAGAATTTGGAAAATTGTTTATTTGTTATATTAATTCCCTGTTAAATTTATTTGTCCTGCACCGCGATTAACATATAAATTTATACATGTTCTTCAACTATTATTAGTTTAAATCATTTAGAATTTGAGACATTTTATATTGAAAAAAAAAACATGGGATACAATTTTAAACTTAATTATAAGAAAAGTGTGTATTTTTATAATAATTCAATAATTCGATGTGATTTTCGATGAAAATTATTGATACTTATATAACTATTTTGTGTGTGTGTGTAGTTATTGAAGTCGCGCGTTATGCAACACAAACTGCTCGTCGCGGTCGATGGGAATGTGAAAATTGTTCGTGCATTTGCAGAGGTGGGAAACAGGTAGAATGAGCTGGAGTTAGTTGCGTTTGAAGGCCGGAGTGAAATGGAAGTAGAGTCAGAAGTAAAGCACCTGAGGCTATGAGACAAGGCATTCCGGTGATTGGAGAACAATCATGAGGATAATGTTGGTGGAGTCGCTGTGGCAATAGTTCTAATGGAACTTTTATTAGAAGCGCAGCAGCAGCATCCAAAATCCGAGGAGCGCACAAGATCTAGGAGGATCCAGTCAGCAGTTTGTTGCTCCTCTTCCTCTATCCTACCTGTTGCACTGTTTACCATTCACGATTTTTGGAGCAGAGCAGAGCGAACATCGATTGTCGAACAAAAGACTTTTATCACTGTTCCAGTTATCCGGTTTCTTTGTTGGTGCTTTACACGTTAGTTTGATAGAATATTATGGTGCTTTTTAGTTAAATCAAATGTAAGTAAACCTCAATTATTTATTTATCTAATCAATTTAATTAACTTTCAAATCTAATTAACACCATAATTAACTACTTAAAGTAAACTCACAATATTTCATAACAAATAATCATTATAATTAATTGCAATTTTTAATTCTGTTTACAAATGTAAACATTGTTATTAAAAATTTAATAAATTATAAAAAAAAATCAGTGAATTTTTCTGAATGAAAATCTGTCCAATCATTTTTTTTTGGATATATGAAAAATAATTGGTTTAATAACAGTATCAATTGTTTATTTAAATAAAAATATTCGCGTGTGCTTTGAAAACGCGAATACCGTTGACACACTTCCATTTTCGTGCAATGAATTTCCTTAATCAACTTATCCGAACGCAATGCGATAATAAAATAAACAATTGTATTTTATAACGTGGTTATATAAATTTTTTATCGTATTATTTTGCGTTTTCGAGTAATTTGATTTTAAAGTTGATTATAAAAAAAAACAATGTTTTGTGTACAATAATTGTATATAAATCTTGTTGTTTTCTATCGTTTTGTTTAATATGATCAATGGTTTACAGTTTGTGTTATAAATTTGATATATTTGTTGAATTTTTTTTATTGTTCTATTGTTTAAATAAATAATAATTAGCGTTTTATATGAACGATTGTTAAGGAAATGTGGCAAATAAATTAGAAAACAATGGTCTAATATTCATTAAAGTCAGATAGGTTAAGATATTTCATGTAATTTAACAATTTATTAAATAATTATACTGACTTATACATTAAGATGTATTATGTAATAAATTTATAATAAGCAGAATGATGTTCTTTTAACAATTTCTCATTCTACATACATTCGATAAATTACAAGCTGTCAGTTTGACATTTCTTAATAACATTTTTTTTAATATTTCAAAATATTGTTGTCATTTATTTTAGATTCATGATAATTGATTTTATTAAAACAAAAACGTAAGAACGTTCATCAAAGTTTAATCTTTATTTTTTTGACACTTCTTAAGTGACATTTTATATGAAAATTTTAATATTTCAAAATATTGTTTATTTTTATTATAATTAAATAAATTCAAAAAAATGTGAAATATATAATTATTTTTTCATTGATTTTATATATTTTTGACAGTTGTTCATAAAAATTTGATCTTTGTGTTTATTTTTTTATTATATACAATTTTTTTGCACTTCTTAAGTGATATTTTGTATGAAGCTTTTAATATTTCAAAAATATTGCTTATTTAATTTGTTTTTTCTATTCAAACAAAAATGTGAAATATATAACTATTTTTTAATTGATTTTATATATTTTTGACAGTTGTCAGATTGACATTTCTTAAGTCACATTGTGCACATAATTTGTTTGAATCTTTCAAAATATTTCATTTTTCATAATCTGTATTCCAATTTAAAAAACGCATGATTTATGCTTGATTTTATATGAAATAATGACACCTGTTAACAAAATCGCAAACGAAAGTTCATAAAAAGTTATATATTTTTGAATGATTTTATATTATATTTGTTGACACTTGACATTTTTCATTTGAATTTTTCAAATATTTGTATTTAGCATTAAATTTTGTAAAAATTGTACAAATTTCACAATTTTTTTGATTGAAATTGTTTAAAATTTTCTATTTGCTATTCTTACTTCTATTATGTTTAACCAACCTTGTCAATGATATATGACGAGGACGGACATTTGATTGCTTTATGGTATACAATTTTCATCATTCATCCAAGACGTGAACATATTAAGTGTATCCGGGTATCTGTGTGTGTGTCTCTCGATTACCAACTGTGCCTTACCATTAACTACATTCAAAACCATTAACTACAATTTCTACTTATGCACATTATGTCGCAACAATAAAAACTAATGATTATTTCTCAATAATTATATACTTTGACAGCTTTAGATTTTGACAACTGACTGATTGTCACTTTGACAGATTGTCACATTCAATTAATACATGATAAAATAGAGTACTAATAGTAATGTACAGAGATTAAATCCAATGACGTTTATAAAAGAACAATTAAAATTTCTATATGTATTTGATTATCTGTTGTGGCACATTATGTCATAACAGCAAAAACTAATGATAATTTATTAATAATTATATAACTTTTGACAGTTGACAGATTGTCACATTAAAATATTTCAATGAATACATGATAAAATAGTGTACTAATAGTAATGTACAGACGTTTAAGAAAATTCATGGAATTCAATAAGTCTTTGAACATCTGTTGTGGCAATAATAAAAAGAATGAGGTACAAATTACGTAATAAATCTAACAGAACAAGTAAGTTTTGTTTATGAGTTTCACTGCTGTTACAAGTATATATTTCCTGTTTAATTCACTATAATAATATTTATATATTTCTAGTTAATAAATATATTATCTATTGCTTACTTTTATCAAAATTGAAGTAAAAAGTAATTAAAAATGTATCAAATCGTAGTAGTTTTAAAGCCTGAAAATATTATTCTCCATAAGAAGAACATGAAAAACAACTTTGTTTTCATGATTCTTCTTTGATCCTCCGCTGTTGTCCATGACTCAGAGAGTCGTTCGTTAGCACCGGCCACGAACACCTTTCTAAATATTTCTCTGCTTCGTTCTTCCTTGGTCTTTCGTTCTTATCCAGGAAACATGTCTTCATTGCACCTCCTGCTGCACCTATTTCTTCATTCTCCATTGTCTATTCTATTGCAAATAAATCCCGATAGACTAATGTGTGTACAGAACACATTAATATCTTTCAATATTATCTTCACTTTCCTCCATAGCCATAAATTCACTTTATTTGTTTACGAGAATAACAAAAATAAGTATTACTGTGATCTTTTTTTCTGACTCATTCGTTTTATATAAAATTGTGTTGTTATTTAACCTAACCTAACCTCTAACCCGATCATAGCTAATCTACCTTTTAATACTACCCAGTCATAAACCAGGGCTCGGCAATGTTTACATCACGTTGCCAACCCCTAAACTATAATACATAACCAAACTTAACCTAACCTATAAAAGATAACCAGACATAATTTAACCTATAAAATATAGACTTAATAAAAAACTAAAATATTGGATTTTTTTAACTAATTAATTTACATGAAAAATAATTAATTAAGATTTTTTTTTTATAAATGAATTACAAATTCTCATAATTTTTATTTACAGTAAAGTACACTTATACAATCTTTACGTAATTATTGAAAAACTGTTGTTTATAAATGCGCAGTTGGTGAGCTGCGAATAAACGTTTTCCATCCTTCTTTTTCTCTATATATTTTTCTGTATTCTTTTTTTCTATCTCTTCGCAAAGTGTGTAAGTAAGTGAAATGTCATTGGATCGTAACTGTTGTTCGATTTGTAATGCATTTGTTTACATTCTCCGATTGTAACAGTAAATCGTGTTATTTCTTTTTTTATATTCAATTATGGATATATCGTTTAGTCCATTATTAAAGCATTTCATAACTGTTGGACTGCAGCCGCCGCCGCTACAAAAGCGGCGCATTTGCATTTCTGGTTACGCAATCGCATTCCCTGTACGTTAGCAGCGTGTTCCAATGAAAACATTAAAGAAAAAAACGAGTCAGGTTTACGTCGGAGGAATGCGATTGCCTTACTTCTGCTCCTTCGGAATAGGGACACACTCATATACTCGAGACTGTTCGATATTCAACCTATTTCACGCTTTCGCTATTCAATTAATTAATATCTAGATATCATAATCTCACGTTGCGGTTATAATAAAGTAGTGTAATTATATTGAGCGTTCATATAACGTACTTAATACGAGTGTACGTTAATCGAACCGTGAATGCACATGCATTGATGATTATTTTTTGATACACATTTGTCTCTTCATTAATATATACATACTCATATAAACTTACTCAAGTTTGCACTTACGTACAATGTTCACACTAACATGAATTCCCATACACACGTATTGATGTTTTTTTTGGTATATATGTGTATCTTCGTTAATTTAATCCTAATTGATATACATTTGTTTCTTCATTCATATAACATACTCAATTTTCATATACATTCACATCTACGTACACAATGTTCATATCAATGGGAATTCCCATATTCATACATTGATGATTATTGTTAGTACATATTAGTTTCTTTATTCATATAAACGTACTTAATTTTCAAATACATTCACACCTACGTACACAATCAATGAGAATTCCCATACTCAAACATTGATGATTATTGTTAGTACATATTAGTTTCTTCATTCATATAAACGTACTCAATTTTCATATATATTCACACCTGCGTACACCATCAATGAGAATTCCCATACTTATACATTGATGATTATTTTTAGTACATATTACTTTTTTTCATTCATATAAACGTACTCGATTTTCATATATATTCACACTTGCGTACAATGTTCACACTAACATGAATTTCCATACAAATTGATGATTTTTTTGGTACATATGTATATCTTCGTTAATTTAATTATAATTGCTACACATTTGTTTCTTCATTCATACAAACCTACTCAATTTTCACATATATATTCACACCTACGTACACTTCATATCAAAGAGAATTGCTATACTCATACGTTGATGATAATTTTTAGTACATATTAGTTTCTTCATTCATATAAACGTACTCGATTTTCATATATATTCACATCTACGTACAATGTTCACACTAACATGAATTCCTATTGATGATTTTTTTGGTACATATGTGTATCTTTGTTAATTTAATCCTAATTGATACACATTGGTTCTTCATTCATATAAACGTACTCAATTTTTATATATATTCACACCAACGTACACAATTTTCAACATGAATTCTTATACATATGTATTGATGATTTTTTGGTACATATGTGTATCTTCTTCAATTTAATCCTAATTGATACACATTACTTTCTTCATTCATATACCTACTCAATTTTCATATACATTTACACCTACGTACTTCTTCATTCATATATAAGTAATTGATTTGCATATATATTCACACAAACGTACACAATATTCACAACAACGTGAATCTCTATACATATGCTTTGATGAGTTTTTTGTACACTTTTGTTTCTTCATTCATATAAACATGCTTGATTTTCATATATATTCACACCAACGTACTTAATGTTTACATATGCATTTATGATTTATTGTGTTTAAATTAATGAAAAAACAAATGTCTCTTCATTCATATAAACGTACATGATTTTGAAAGAAACGTAGTAGTTTTTGAAATGAAACATATTATAAAATAATAATAATTGAAACTTGAACACTAACAAAATCCTATTATTATTTTTCATTTCATTTACACAAACAATAATTAAGGAAGAACATCTAATTACCATTGGATGCTCGAGGTTATTGACTGTATAATATTCAACTGTAGTTAACATAATTTAGGCTTCAATGAAGATGAATAAAGAACAAAATAAATATCTTATAACAAAGAAATAATTGAGTTTATTAGTGAATGAAAAAATAATAATTAATAGAAATAAGAAAAAAATATTTGAAATTGTAAAAATTAGTTTAAGAAAAAAACAATGAAATTAAGAATAATTATAAAAAATTGCTTCTTTTAATAAAAATTTGTTCTAATTACAGATAGAAACAGTATACTGAAGTTTACAAAACTTCTGACATAAATAACATGAATAGGTTTTAACGATGTTAAGTGAATACAAAAACAAACTTAATTAATTGTACAAAGAACAAAACAAAACATTTAAACTCAATAAGGATGTATTTAATTATCCAAAGTTAAAATTATAATATAATTTCTTCCTATAATCATATGATAATCAAATAAATCTTTAGTGTTGTTATGCATCATGTGTCCTTTGTATTATTATGCTTTGAAACCATCCTCGAATTTGGCGTGATCGTCGTAAAGTAATTCTAATGACCGTCTGTTGCGTAACGTCGATGTTAATGTGTTGTTTTTTTTCTACATTTGATGAGTTGCGTAAGAGCGAACGCACAGCGTTTCGTTCGTAACGAGCGTAGTCGAAAGTTTCGTGTACGTACGTTAATTTTCGCAAACTCCTGGCTTCAATTTGAACTTTGTTTTTCTATTGCTACAACTAAAATAAAAGTACAGTTTGTTACTTTCATAGAGAATGGTTATATAATAAAAAAAATAAAATTATGAGTATTGACATTATTCAAATAGTTTAAATTATTAAAAAATTTGCGAATAAAAAGATAAATGAAATATTATTTAATTATTGGATTTATTAATGTCAAATTAATTATTAATAATGATTATCAAATATTTTGGGTTATTGTAGGTTATGGATTTTTGGGGTTTCAACAGCCCCAGTGGCCTAATGGATAAGGCATCGGCCTCCTAAGCCGGGGATTGTGGGTTCGAGTCCCATCTGGGGTACACAACAAGTATTTTTATATATAATAACTAAGAAATTATATAACACAAAATAACATTTCATTGAAAATAATTTGAAGTTACTTAATTTGTTTAAGAATGTATAAATATTAACTTACTTGTAACACAAACTTTCACATTTTAAAAGACTTTTACATTAATTATGCAACTTTAATAACAGATTAACACGTTGACGATGGCATGACCCACCGGTCGGTCATAAATTATGAATAATAGTTTTGTCGCTATGAACGCCACTGACTTTGACTAAGTATAACCTTAAATATCTTACGTCAATTACAAAGCTTAAACGTCAATAGGTTGTAAAAGCAAATATTGAGACTTTTACATTAATTATGCAACTTTAATAACAGATTAACACGTTGACGATAGCATGACCCACCGGTGGGTCATAAATTATGAATAATAGTTTTGTTGCTATGAACGCCACTGATTTTGACAGAGTATAACCTTAAATATCTTACGTCAATTACAAAGCTTAAACGTCAATACGCTGTAAAAGCAAATACTGAGACCTTTACATTAATTATGTAACTTTAATAACAGATTAACACGTTGACGATGGCATGACCCACCGGTGGGTCATAAATTATGAATAATAGTTTTGTTGCTATGAACGCTACTGATTTTGACTGAGTAACCATAAATATCTTACGTCAATTACAAATCTTAAACGTCAATACATTTCTTATACATATTCTTTAATAATTTTTAAAGCAATTTAGAACAATACGAGATATTGTGATATAATTTATGAATACTTTACAAAATCTGTTTAAAAATTATTCAAAAATGTAAAAGAAAAGTTTAAGTTTGTAATTGACGTAACATATTTGACTTTTCACTCAGTCCATAGGCGTCCACGACATTTTTTCTCGCAACAGGCAAACCGATTTGCGCCGTCCTTAACGTGTTAAGTAACAAAGAAACTATAACTCTTTTACAACAAAGCTTATAAAGAAAATCTGTTTCTTTTTATTAAAATATAATATTGAGAACAGTGATACCAACTGTATTTTGAAACATGTTCAACTAAAAACTTCCTGAAAATGGCGGGAATTTTTAAATTTTCATTTTTTATACGCCCCAGTGGGCTAATGGATAAGGCATCGGCCTCCTAAGCCGGGGATTGTGGGTTCGAGTCCCATCTGGGGTACATCTTCTTTTAGTATACATTTAACAATAGCAAATAATTCAATAGTAACTTATGAAAAATTGAGAATAATACGAAAATCGTTATATTTCATAATTAACGTAACACTGTATTATATTTTTTTGCAATTAAATGTAACTTTTTTGCTTGTTTATTAAATAGTAATACTTAAATATGAGAAAATGAGAATTTCAAGGTTAATAATTATGTAATTATTATAGATCAAATTTTTTTTTTGACGTGTCAAAACAGAAACCACAAATTTTGTTTCAATAAAACAAAAGCGTATTTCAAGCTACTATAATTCAATGAAAGCTTTTATTTCAATGACAACTGAAAATCAATAATATTTTCAAGTTTTTAGGCGATAAAATTTGAAAAAAAAAACTATAACATAATCTAATTTTAGTTACATTTATCATTTAAGATGGAGCCACAATCGGATAGGATAATAATTATTAGATATTTAATTTAGAATTTCAAATATTATAGTATAATTGGATATTTTGATTTTTGTCTTTATATTAAATTTTTGTTATGTTTAATAATACATTAATCAAAGTGAATGTAACAAATATTAATGAATTTAATTACAGCCAACATAAATAACTTTGGCATTTCATCAAAAATAAAACGAACAGCCGTACAGACTTCTTGTAAGAGGCCTTCTCGCTTGACGGCATTTTGAACTTTCACCCTAGATATTTATGTATTTAGTAATTCATATGTAAATATCATATATGTGAAACAGGTTGTAACCAGCAAATTACATGCAAATACAAATTAGTCATTAATCTAAACTAAATATATTAATATAGAATAGGATAAATCAAAGTATTTAGCCGTTACATAACATATAAATTAAATATGAATAATATTTGCTTATGTAATAAGGGAATAATCAGCTTATTGCCTTTGTAAGATAGATTTATGTAATAATGAATTATATCAAATAAAAGTTGTAAAGAAAGTAATGCTGAATGTGCAAATTTATGTGTTTTTATTGAACGTGTTCGAATTGCGTATTTCCGATTTGATTTATTGTTTCACGGTTGAAGGGAAACTAATTTAAAAAGTGAATCCAACGGAACGTTTCCTCCACTGAGGATTCTTCCGTTCGTTACGTAAATCTCCACCGAAATATGAATTTACATGTTCACGCACAATAACAAGAAAAAAATACAACTAGAAAATCAAGTGAAACCTTTTCTTGTAGTAGTAGTAGAAACAAGAATTAATGAGGTGGAGTGGAGAAATTTCTCGAAATGACTTAATCTCATCCGATTATTCATTGTTTCGCCCTGGGAATGTCTTAATTATGTAACAAAACAATTCGAAGTGAGTGACCTAGTTCGTTTGTTGCAGAGAGATGGCGTCGCCAGTTCCTATAACGGAGATCGAGGCTCTTCACAGGAAGGTGCTTCTCGACAGTTTGACCAGTTACCAGACCTCCAACGTCTTCACCGACGTGACTTTAATCGTAGATGGCAACAGTTTTAAAGCGCACAAGTTGATCTTGGCTTCGTGCAGTTATTACTTCCAATCGATGTTCATGGATGAAATGCTGGAGGCTAAGGAGAATGTAGCTCACATCCAGGGTATCTCAGCTAGTGGTCTTTCCATACTGCTGAACTACATGTACACCTCGAAGCTTGAAATAACCGATCTCAACGTACAAGATATTCTTGCCACAGCTGTATACACTCAAGTCTATCCAGTCGTTCAAGCATGCAAGCAATACTTGAAGCTCAGTTTGGATGTGGAAAACTGCACGGATATCGCAACCATCGCGGATAACTACTGCTTGAATGACCTGAAGATGGACGTCTTCAATTTCGTTAGTTCTTCCTTCATCGAAGTGGCCAAGACCAAGGACTTTCATAGACTGAGCCCCGAGCAAATCCAGTACGTCGTTTCAAGAGATGTGCCTATAAATGTAACAGAACTTAAATTCCTCCAATACATACTGCTCTGGTTTTTCAAGGGCAACCACAATGAGTGAGTTTCAGTCTATAGTTTAGAAAATCAATTAATTAATATTATTGCAGGATTAAAAGTAAATTATCTCACGCTGAAAACATATTGAAGCACATTAGGTTTTTTGAGATAATCCCGTCGCGGCTCAAAGGAATGTTGGACGTCCTCTTCGTGGAGCGCAACAAGCTGAACGATCCTCTCTACGAAATCATAATGAGGATATCTCATCAACCCGAGAACAGTTTGAGGGTGCCTCTCTTAAAGAACAGTTTCAGCACCAGAGGAATGCAGTTGGCTTTAGTTAAAGTCGGTGGTTTCGGTATGAACGGCCTCACCAACGATATCAATTATAGTTTCATCGATGAGAGACATTGGCGGCATCTGACTGTGATACCTCACGTGGAGCAGTGCAATTACGGGACGGCCGTCCTCAACAACGAGCTATACGTGATCGGAGGTTGCTTCAATCAATCGCTGCAGGAGGTGATTCATCCATTTGGATTTAAGTTCAACCCTTACACGAAGAGTTGGCAGAAGATTCGGTCCATGATGTTGGAGAGGTGTCGCTTCACCTTGAACGTACTGAACAATAAGCTTTACGCAGTCGCCGGGGCTACGGAAAGCGGAAACGGTTTCGATCTTGAGGCTACGAAAACCGCAGAATGCTATGATTTGAATAGAGGTGCTTGGAGCTGCATTGAAAGTCTTCCTGAGTGCAGGCAACAGCACGCTGCTGTTTCCTACTCGCACATGGGGAAAAATATGCTGTTCGTTTCTGGTGGTCTGCACAAGGATCGGGTCATAGCTTCGATGTTCGTTTATACCGAAGAGAAGAACAGTTGGAGTTCTTGCGCTCCGCTGTTGACGCCGAGAGCTGATCACTTCATGGTTTGCTACAATTACAAGCTTTACGTCTGCAGCGGTTGGAGGGAGGATCCGAATGCTCCGCAACTCAGGATACAGGTGGCCACGATCGATGCTTATGACCTGATCACGAACACCTGGAGCTTCGTCACGAACGTGCCTACACCTAGGTACCATACGGGCGTTGTTGCTCACGATTCGAAGATCTACTTTATCGGAGGTTTTCATAATGATGCCATGTTTCATAAAGACACCGCGGCCATCGAATGCTACGACATCCTCACGGACACCTGGACCAAAGGGGACAAGCATTCCCAAGACTTCTGGGAACACAACTGCGTCATGCTCTACGTACCCAAGCAGCACTCAGATTCAAAGACATGACAATACTTAAACGTAATTTATATCTATGCCTTCCATTTTTTATTATTATTTATAATTTATACTTTTAATATATAAAACTCGATGACAATTATTGTTTCCATTATTTCACCTACAATTTTGAACAATCAAACTTTCAATCATAATGTCAAAAGCTTCATCATATTTGACGTATAGAGAGGTTGGTTGTCATTAACTATTATTTACTTACAGCCATACTTTTAACATCCTATAAATCTCAGATATTTATTGAAGTTAACCCAGAAATTCTCTTGCATTAAGTATAAACATATTTAGTAAGAAAACTTTGAACTACTAAAGAACTTAAATTATTTAAAGTAATTAGGCAACTCACACAACGTATACTTGCAATAAACGTCAGTAATTAGGAACAAATAGTGTGATGAGACATTGATAAAATCAGTTGGATTGGAAAAGAAAGATAAAGCATGAAGACAAAGAATAATCATCAATTATTAAGAAAAAAGTAACAAATTCTATAATTTTAATATTATATATTTTATATTAATTGTTGAGTTAAATGTTGTTGGTACTTATTGGATTTTGAAAACTGAAATTTGTAAACGAAGTGTGCGAGCCTGATGATGACATTCGATTTGACACAAAACCCGAGTATCATCTGAGCTTTCCACATTAACCAGTTGAAATTTTCGTTAACTAAGATGATTGAAATCCTACGTATTCAACTTTGTTTAGTGCTGTGAACATGTGAGCAGGAAATTGAAACGAGATCAATTAAAAGCAAGTTAAGAAGTATCAAAAATAACAATAAAATATAAGTCAAGGAAAACGCTGAAAGTAATGGACATATTGGAATTAAAAGGTGTAAATTCTCGGATGAAGGAGAGCAGCAGCAGCGTTCAGTGCGTAAATCCAGTGTTGAGGCCGAAGAAGCGGAGGCCTCCGAAGGAGTCTTTCTGCGAGTTCGATATAATCGAGAACTTCAATAAGCAACATCGGAGACGAAAGAAGCGTCACGCTTTGGAAACGGCGGAGCTTTGCATGAGGATCAAGGACGTTGCGGAAAGGAACGAAAGGATAAGTCAGATTTATAGCGCAAGACAGAGTTCGCAGGAGACGCTCAACAGTGCGGATGCTAAGCTGAAGAAGGAGGAAGCGAACAAACGTAGTCACAGGAGTCGCATGTTGACCATGTCCAGGACGGATCATAGTAAATCGCCGGAATCGCAAAGACCTGTAGTTCTCACTTCGAAGATATGCCAAAATTGCTCAGGGCAGATCGAAGACAAAATCTTAAGCGAAATATCCACTCCCACGAATTCCACAAAGAAGCACAGTAAGAGGAAATCAAGGAAACTGACGAAAAACGATGATCTTCAGGATGAGGTTAAAAACGCACAAGAATCTCTGAAGCATTTGATCACAGTTTACGAAAATCTTAATAATACAGGATTACCCAGACAGAAGATTACTAGGAGCTCAGAACGACGAGATTCCAGTAAGAGAAGTGATGGTCATAGATCGGAATCGAAAAATAGAGAAGACGTTGCGAAAATATATAATCCTAAGATCATTGAGAAAGCGCACGAGAAACAACGCCGTGATGTTTCGAGTTTAGAAAAGAAGTTGAGGATCGAACAGTGGCAAGAGAATGTTAATTCGGCGAGAAGTCGGAGCCAAAGCAAAGAACCTGAGCTTACACCTAAAAAGAAAGAGAATAAAGTGACTGATAGGAATCACCACAAGCGAGAGAAGAATCACGATTTGGTACATAGAAAAACGCAAACTAAGAGGATTCCAAGTGAAGAAAGGCATGGATCTAAGGAAAGATCCATTGATCCTTCGATTCAAGTTACCGAAGAAAGCGAAACAGTTAAGCAAGAACCAGTTAAACAGGAATCAGTTAAAGATAGCATTGTTGATAAACCACTTAAGCCATGTTTATCTATAAAGCAAGTGAAAGAAGTCAAGTTTTGCGATCGTTCCGCTGGTGACGATTGCGAAGAGGATTTTTCAAAATTTTGTGAGGCCGAAGTTGAGGATGAAAGCGTGAAGGAGGTTCATCTGCGCGTAGAAAACTTCGATGATCATCTTATAGATGAAAACGACTTTAATCATAGAAATTTTAAAGTTGACGTAAAAGATACTTATCATGGAAAACGCGAGATTCGTTTGCTGGATGAGACGTCATCTCTGAAAGAACCCAGGCGTGTTTATGTTAAAGAGGAGGGAAATAATATTATTAACTTTTTAGGAGCATTCCGGCCCAGAAGCAGATCACCTAAGAAAGTCAACAATTTTAGAAATCCAGTTACCAATTATCAAGAGATTAGTCTAAATTTAATGGCTACAAATAAACTGGATGCTGCACCAATAAGAGCTATAGAAGAGCAGGAATGTATGAAGCTCAGCAGAAAGGAGCTAAGTTTTTCGAACTTAAACCTATCACCAATTAATTTGCATTACATGATGCACTCTCCAAATGAAGCGTTTGCCGAAGAAACTGAAGTTAAGACGCCTTTGCCTGTGTTAAAGGAAGAGGCAAAGAAGACCATTTTGAAGAATCCTGTTGGGAATTTGGCATCACGTCCGAAGTTGTCTAGAACAGCACTAGCTTTAAGAGACATTTTCAAAGTGAACGAATTGCAGAAGATTCGAAGCGTTTGCGTTTCCAATAACTTCCGAAGTCCAAGGAAGAACGACCGAAGTCCAAGAAACGAGACTACTCCTGCGGTTTATAAGCAAGACGTTGGTGATATAATGAATAGGAACGTTTTCGGTAAGAACAAGTTTCATACAACGAAAACGGTGCTTCCAACTGAGAGGATCGTCGAGATATCTTCGAAAATCTTTCGAGATCAGAAAGTTTCCTTCACCGTTGAAGGAGTGGAACCACCAAAGCGGATGCAGGCCGTTGCCAAGAATAAGGCTTTGAAAGATGATTGCAAGTTAACTATGCAGATATTCGCTGGATTAGCAGTAAATACAGATGATTTGAGCAGTTTGTGTCATGGTCGAAAAACGATACATGAAGTAGAGGATCCCTATTTCGATTCTTTGGAAAAGTCTGAGAGCAGTCCCAGATCAGAATTGGAAAAACCAATGCGAGTCAAAAAGAGTTCGCTGATTTCTCTGAAGTGCAGAAGGTATAGGCCTCAAAGGAAGGAAAGTCAGAGAAGTCACAGGCATAAGAAACCTGTGCGTAAGAAAAGTTCGGATCATTTCAAGAAGGTGGATTTAATTGATTCTGAAACGCAAACAGATTTGGAAGTCATTGTAGCTTATAACAGCTTCAATGAAATCCTTCCAATCTACAGAGAATCCGAAAAAACTGACTCTATTATGCAGACTTTAAGTCGAAGAAGTGTTGCAATCGAAGCTGATCTTGACAAGGACCTTCACGATTCCAGCATGTGCCAAACCATCGAAGACTCCAACTTTGAATGCACCGATTGTAAAATCCTTATGAATATGTTGAGTCCGGGTTATAAGAGTCACATCATTAACTTGCATAGGAATTCGAAGAGCGAGAGTAACATTCTTAAAAAGCAATCTATTTCGAAAGTTGATGATGTTAGTAATAAGGATCAATCTCAGGATCAGGTGAAGTCTTTGACTTCAAAGTCGAAGTCCGTGAGTAATCTGCAATCATCTCGTAATTGTTACGTGAGCAGGATACCAAAGCTGCAGATCCCAAGGAAGGCTAAACCAGTTAAGGAAGAAGAAATGAGCGATAAAATAACTTTGAAGAAGCAGTACACAGCCAATGAAATAGTTGTACTGGAGACTTGTTTGAACAATATTTTGGAAAAACTGCATTCTGATGGTGAGAAAATTGCACCACTGATATCACCAAGATCGAAGAGTAAGTCAGTGAGCAAAAAAGTGTTGGTTTCACCTAGGAGGAAATCTGCTTCAGGTGTTAATACCAATAGGCCGAAGAAGTATACGCACAGGAAACCTAAAAAAGTAAACAATCCACCATCCAATTCAGTTTCGACAACAGTGAGTAGCTCTTCTATTCCTACTGTTAAGAGCGTTTATAAAAATGGTAAAGAGATGACTTCGAGCGTGACGACTTTGAGCAGTAATTGCTCAGATTCTTGCTACCCGAAGACCAAATCTAGTGTCTCAGTGCAGCTTGCTAATATTTATTATGAGGTTAAGAAGGTGAGCGAGGACAAGATTAAAAGGGAATCTAGATTCCAGAAGAAGAACAAGTCAAATTACATTAAACGCAAGATGATTGATAAGAGGCGAAGTAAGGGTATCCTTCAAGATTTTAAGAGGGTGGTGAAACATAATTCAAATATCATGAAGACTGTTTCATCAACTTGCAGTCCATCGAAGAAACATTCTAGTAGTAGCAAGAAGTTGGCAGGACCTAGGGATTTTGGCGTCATTAGTAAAGAGCCTTTCTTCATAAACAACAAGAGTAATACTTGTAAATCAACAGCTCGCGTGAGCGTTGATAGTTTGGAGATGCAGTGTTTTACTGCAATGTGTCCTTTGACGGACATCTTCAACTTTTCACCACCAACATACGCCTATCACGTTTACAATACTGAAGTGCAGACCATCAAGACACCCCCGAATCGTCCGAATCTGACGAGTTTCCGGGAGACTGCGACGGGAAACACTCGAATCATTTTCAATGAGACTAGGAAAACTGTAGCTCCGAGCTTCAACGAGAAACGAGAAGCTGTGGCTTCAGTTAGTCCAAAGGTGTGCGACATGCGGAAGGTGAATGCAAGCGAGATGAGCAGTTTTTCGAACGCAGCTCGAACCTGCAACAATCTGATCTTCAGTTATTCGGAGAAACCAGCTCAGGAAGCGTTCGCGGATAATTTTGATAAATCTAGAGGTCTTTCTGAAGCGACTTGCAAGAGCGATAGCAATGCTACTATTCAGAATCAGCTGTTGTCGAACGAGAGTAGTGGGTATGAGAGTTCTCGCAGTCACAAGACGAACTCGATCAAGAGTTTCTTTAGGAAGAGCGGAGGGCTGTTGGAGATGTTTAAGTCTACTTCGAAGACTAGGAAGAATAGTCAAGAGTTGAATATGATTCAGGAGCAAAATTCTACGCAATCGCTTAG